CACTCTGAGCAAACATCACTGTGGCAGATAAGCATGTGATGTTCGCCAGCACTTTTTTCACGAGAGCCAGAATTCTGCATACCTGCGCCATTTCAGCATACTGTTCGTGTTTCTCGGCCAGAAGTTGAGCTGCCTGGACACCTTCGCCGACTGCTCGATGCTCCTCCAGGTAAAGCATATGACGGGCAAACGAGGATTGCAGCTGAAATGGTGTGTCAGTATCTTGCAAAGTAATGTGCGTTCCCCTTGGCGATCATTGCGACCAGCCCAGTCTTTCACACTACGCTGTCTTCTTCATGGGTTGAAAACTGGCTTAGCGAACGAAGGCACGAATCTTTGACGTCATCTTGCTTTAGAATCCGCACTGTCGGAGCGTAACGAACATTCAAAAGTGCGGCTGACTGGTTGTAAAACTTCCACATGAAAAGTACAAACTTGCAGAATAAAGTTTCCATGTCAAAACGAAGATTAGCAGAGCAGTCAGTGCCTTTGGTGAAGCATGAATAATGTCTCACTGAGTAACATTTTGGAAAACATGTAGCACAAAAAGCGAAAATTTGTGCACCTACATTTAATCATGAAAAAAATTGCAGGTCATGCGTTGACAAGCTTTTTTACGTGCAAACCACTTCTTTGCACCATTATAGCGTTTTCTTGCTCAAGTCCAATGCAAGGTGCCCCATATTAATCCCTATACTGTGGTCGTCAACGACATCGGAAGCAATGCGTTAACGACGACGCTCTGCGCACTATGAGCGCGACTGAATGATGACGAGATGGCTAGAAAGAGCGACTTCTTCAAGATCGCTTGGTGCTTGCTAGTGTGCTAGAATTATCCGCTCTTTCTCTAGCTTTGTATCACACATCAATCCCATCATTATCAAAACTAGGCCCGATTAAGAATATTTGAGATTTGAGAAAAGGTGGTGCCATCAAGGATAGTAGAAACCACCGGCTAGCATTCTGGTTGCCATCTTCTACTGATCTTCCATGATTCCACTACTCGCACAGCTCGAGAATTTGAATAGAACTTTCTCAACGCAGCAA